GGCGTGGGCCCGCGCGTGTCTGCTGCGCTGCAGCGGCTGCAGTGCGGCGGCCGCTGGCAGTGCGGAGTGAGCGAATTGAGTTTTATAAAAGTTTTTGAAAAAGAAAAAAAAGAAAATAAAATAATTTATTTGACAGCAGACGCAGCAGCAGAACTGCAGACACTCGAGCCCGACGCGGTGTACGTACTCGGCGGGCTCGTGGACAGAAACCGATTCAAGTTTTTGACTTTCCACAAAAGCCAAGCAGCAAACTTGCGAGCAGCCAAACTCCCCATCAGCAGCACTTTCAGCAGCAGCAGCAGCAGCAGCAGCAGCAGCAGCAGCAGCACAGGCGGCTTCCGCGGCTCCAAGATACTCACTGTCAACCAGGCACGACCCGCAAACCCTAAACCCTAAACCCTAAACCCTAAACCCTCAGAGTCGCACGGCCGCAGCTGCTGCTCCCGCCGCTGCTGCTGCTGCGCCTGCTCCAGCCGCTGCTGCTGCTGCTCATCTTGCGGCGGCTCCTGCTGCTCCTCGTGCTGCTGCTGCTGCTGCCGCTGCTCACGTTGCTGCTGCTGCTGCCGCTGCTCACGTCGCTGCTGCTGCTGCTCGCAGTGCTCCTGCTGCTGCCGCTCTTCATATTGCTGCTCGTGCCGCTGCTGCTGCTCTTCATATTGCTGCTGCTGCTGCTGCTGCTGCTGCTGCTGCTGCTGCTGCTGCTGCAGGCTGCTTCAGTGCTGATGGCCTACGCGGAGTTGGGCAGCTGGCGCGCAGCTCTTTCGCGGGCGCTGCCGCAGCGCAAAACTTGGGGAGTTCCTTTGGAGGAAGAAGAAGAGCCTTTTGTCAACAATTTGCTGCTCGAAGACTAGCTGCTGCTGCTGCTGCTGCTGCTGCTGCTGCTGCTGCTGCTGCTGCTGCTGCTGCTGCAGGTCCTGCTGCTGCTGCAGCAGGCGCCGCTGAAGCAGCTGCGGCGCTGCAGTTGCAGACCCTGCTGAGGCAGCAGCAGCGTGCTGCAGGAGCAGCCACTGCTGCAGAAGCCGCAACTGCTGCCGTTGCAGCAGCAGCAGCAGCAGCAGCGGCAGCTGCTGCTGCTGCTGCTGCTGCTGCTGCTGCTGAGGTAGTATCCGCGGGCGCGCTCAGATGTATGGAAGTTCAGCAGATAATTATAATAAGTGGAGTTCGAAATACAAAAAGTGGTTTTAGACATTTAAATTTGTTTTGAAGATTCAGATTTATATTTTGGCAGAAGCAAAACAACATTTAAAGAAATAAATATATTTAATTAGTGGACTTAAGTGCTTTGCTGCTGCTGCTGCTGCTGCATCGCGTGCAACAGCAGCAGCCAGAGCGCATGCAGGCTTTGCTGCTGCGTCTCGCTGCTGCTGCTGCTGCTGCTGCTGCTGCTGCTGCTGCTGTCGGCGCTGCTGCCATTAGAGAAGACTTTAGATCTCCTTTTGAATTTAAATTAAAAGGCGAACTTTCACGAAGTAAAAGACCTTCAAATTTGAACTTAAATTAAAACGCGAACTTCCACGCGAGTTGCTGCTGCTGCTGCTGCTGCTGCTGCTGCTGCTGCAGCAGGGGGGCCCCACGAGCTGCTGCAGGGAGTTCTGGCTGCGGGTTGTCTTTGGAGTCTGCGGAGTTTGGCGAGGAATTGGAAGTTGAATTTGAAAGTAAAAGCATTAAATGTGAAACTAAAAGAAATAAATAACTTTTAAAAGAATTTAATTTCAAATTGCTGCCAAGTTGAACAGACCTGCAGGCAGCCGGCGAGCCGCCGCCGCCCGCCCGCGGCGGCTGCGGCTGCTGCGTCTTCGCCGCTGCTGCAGCGAAGTTCGCAGCAGCAATTTGAAATTCCGAAAAGAAATAAAATTCGAATTCGAATTGCTGCAGCAAAAAGGAGCAGCAGCAGCTGCTGGCAGCAGCAGCAGCGCAGCAGCGCGAGCAGCGGGCCCCGCGGTCCGCGCGGCTGGCTGCGTGTCGCAGCAGCAGCAGCAGCAGCGCAGCAGCAGCAGCAGCAGCAGCAGCAGCACTTACCGGGCTCGCCAGAAAGCGCCGCGAAAACTGGAGCTGGATTTGCTGCTGCAGCAGCAACACGAAGACGCCAGGAAGCAAAATGCTGCTGCTTTCCGCCTGCAACCCGCTGCTGGACGTGGTGGCGGAGGTGCCGCTGCTGCTGCTGCAGCAGTTCGAGCTGCCCTTCGGCGGCGCTGTCTTAGCAGCAAAACAGCAAATGGAATTATTCACAAAAGTGCCGCAGCAGTTTTGCTGCAGCTTTTTGCCCGGCGGCTGCGGCCAGAACACCGTGCGGGTTTACCAGGCGCTCTGCGGCAACCAAGTCCGTCGGACTTAGCCAAATTTCAGCTTTTTTTCTTTTTTTTTTTAATAACTTTTCAGCTTTTAATTATTTCCCTGGCTTGTCACCCCTTGAATGAAAGCCCTGCTCCTCCCGAGCCCGAATCTGCTCCCGCTGCTGCTGCTGCTGCTGCTGCTGCTGCTGCTGCTGCTGCTGCTGCTGTTGCTGCTGCAGCCCGGCAGAAGCATGTTCCTCGGGAGCATCGGCAACGACAAAGAGGGCAAGCAGCTCAAAGAGCTCCTCGAGTCGCAAGGTGAGCTTTCTCTTTCCACTTCCGTGCTGCTGCTGCTGCTGATTTTCATCTTCTGCTGCTGCTGCTGCTGCTGCTGCTGCTGCTGCTGCTTATCTTCTCCCTTCTGCTGCTGCTGCTGCTGCTTCTTTCGTCCCTTCTGCGCTGCTGCTCTTCCTTTTCTCCCTTTTGTTCCCGCTGCCAACCCCCTTCTGCCTGCTGCTGCTGCGAACTCGCTGCTGCTGTCCCTGCTGCTGCTGCTGCACCTGCTGCTGCACCTGCTGCTGTCCTTGCTGCTGTTGCTGCTGCTGCTTCCTCTGCCATCCCTGCTGCTGTGGTTCCGCCTGCCGTCGTTCCTGCTGCTGCCGCTGTCCCTGCGGCTCCGCCTGCCGCTTCACCCGCTGCCCTTGCTGCTGCTGCTGTTGCTGCTGCTGCCGCTGCTGCTGCTGCTGCTGCTGCTGCTGCTGCTGCTGCAGGCATTGAAACGCTGTACAAAGTGTGCGAAGACGAGCCGACGGGGACTTGTTTGGTGCTGGTGGCGGAGAAGGAACGGAGTGTATGTACACGTCTGGGAGCTGCAACAAAAATAAATTTGGAATTTTTGAAATCCATTTTTGAAAAAGTCGAAAAAGCAAATGCTGTTTACTGCACTGGCTTTCTCCTGTCTTCTTCCACCGAGGCAAGTCCATTTATTTATTTATTATTTATTTATTTATTTAATTATTTATTATTTATTTATTTATTTATTTATTTATTTATATTTATTTGTTTTTTATTTATTTACTTGTGTTTGTGTATTTTTATTTTATGTGTTTGTTTCAGTTTTGTTATTTCAGTTTTATTAGTTTCGACTTTGTTCATTTCAACTTTATTTATTCTTGTTTATTCAGTCCATTCAATTTGATTTAATTTGTAATTTAATTTAATTTAATTTAATTTAATTTAATTTAATTTAATTCGAGGAAAGAAAAGAATAAATAAAAATAAAAATCAGAAAAAGAAGAAAAACAAAAGTGAGAGGAAAGCGAAGCGGCGTTTTGCAGGTGGCGATTGAGCTGTCTAGACACTGCGGAGCCGCGGGCAAGCTCTTCGCGTTCAACTTGTCGGCTTCATTTCTTTTTGAAGTTTACAAAAAAGAAATAAAAGAAGTTTTGAAAAACACTTCTCTTTTAATTGGAAACAAAGAAGAAGCAACTGCTTTTGCTGCTTCCTGCGGCTTCGACTGCAGCGGCAGCACCGGCGACGTCGCGCTCCAGCTGCTGCAGCTCCTGCTGCAGCTGCAGCAGCAGCAGCAGCAGCAGCAGCAGCAGCAGCAGCAGCAGCAGCAGCAGCAGCAGCAGCAAGGGGGAGAAGAAGCAAAAGATAAAAAAGTTTTGGAAAATGAACATTCAAAAAGAAAAATAAATCCGCTTTTCAAAGCTGTTGTAATTACACAAGGGCCTGATGCAGTCATTGTGGCCTCGACTGAGTGAGCAGTTTTAACTTGAATTATTTTAATTAATTTAAATTTAATTAATTAAATTTAATTATTTAAATTTAATTAATTTATATTTAATTCATTTAAATTTAATTAATTTAAATTTAATTCATTTTGGAAACTTCAAAACCAACTTCTTTTGCTGCTGCTGCTGCTGCTGCTGCGCAGCGCCCCCCCCACCATCCCCAGCAGCAGCAGCAGCAGCAGCAGCAGCAGCAGCACCGCCACCACGACCCCCAGCGGCAGCAGCAGCAGCACCACCCCTCCCACCCCCACCCCCAGCAGCAGCAGCAGCAGCAGCAGCAGCAGCAGCAGCAGCAGCAGCAGCAGCAGCAAGCTGCGGGTGAGCTCTTTTCCTGCTGCTGCAGTGGCAGCAGCAGAAATAAAAGATCTGAACGGCGCCGGCGACGCTTTTGCCGGCGGCTTTTTGTTCGGGCTGCTGCAGTTGGGGTGTACAGACACCGCAGCGCGAGTCGGCAGCTGGTGCGCCGGAGAGGTAATTAAAAAAAGCGGATTTCAGTTTGAACTTCCAAAGGATTTTAAACTTGAAAGTATTTTAAAATCAAAATAATTATTTTATAATTAATTTATTGTTTTTAATTGTTTAATTGTGTTTAATTATATTTAATTGTGTTTAATTATATTTAATTGTGTTTAATTATGTTTAATTATGTCTAATTATTTAATTCTGGTTATTAAAAAAAGCGGATTTCAGTTTGAACTTTCTGATGATTTTAAACTTGAAAGTATTTTAAAACAAAAGTAATTATGTTTTAAATCGAAAATAATTTTTAATTTTGTATTTTTAAATTCTTAAATTCTTTAATTCTTTAATTTTATAATTCTTCAAAAGAAGTTCCAACTTGCAATTAATTTCAACTTGAAAATGTTTTTAAAAAAAAAGTAATTTTAAGCTGCCAAATAATTTCAAAGTCCAAAAATTAAAAATTAATTTAAACTTAAAAACAATTTAAAACTTTAAAACAATTTAAAACTCCAAAACAATTTTAAACTTCAAAATAATTTCAACTTCTTTGAAGTTGAAATTATTTTGAACTTGAAATTATTTTGAACTTCAAATTATTTTGAAGTTGAAATTATTTTGAACTTCAAATTATTTTGAAGTTGAAAGTATTCTGAACTTCAAATTATTTTGAACTTCAAATTATTTTAAACTTCAAATTATTTTGAAGTTGAAAGTACTTTGCAAGTTCGAACTTCAAATAATTTCAAAGTTGAAAATGTTTGCAACTTGGAAGCAAAAAAGAATTTCGAACTTCGAATTATTTCGAACTTTGAAAGAATTCCAACTTCAAATTATTTTCAACTTTGAAGTTTTCAAAACTCTTTTGAACTTCAAAATAATTTCAAACTTTTAAATATTTTTTTATAACTCTTTTGAACTTCAAAATAATTTCAAACTTTTAAATATTTTCCAACTTTGAAATATTTTCCAAGTTTTAAATATTTTCAAACTTTGAAATATTTTGAAGTTCAAATTCTTTTCAAGTTCGAAATTCTTTTCGAGGGAATTTCAAACTTCAAATTATTTCGAATTTGAAATTTTTTCGAATTTGAATTTTGGAATTGAAATTCTGTTGGAGTTTGAAGTTCTTTTGAATTTGAAATTCTTTCAAGTTTTGAATTCTTTTGAATTTAATTTATTTCGAATTAAAACTTCTTTTGGATTTAATTTATTTTGAATTTAATTTCTTTTGAATTTAATTTATTTCGAATTAAATTTCTTTTGAATTTTAAATTATTTCGAATTAAACTTCTTTTGAATTTAATTTATTTTGAATTGAATTTCTTTTGAATTTAATTTATTTCGAATTAAAACTTCTTTTGAATTTAAACTTCTTTGCAAAAAACTTTTAAAAGTTTTCTTTTTTTCGAATTCGAAGTTTTCTCCAAAGACAGAAAACTCAGCTCCACGGAGGCTCCTTCATTTATTATTTATTTATTTATTTATTTATTTATTTACTTATTTATTTATTTATTTGATTATTTTGTTTATTTGTTTATTTATTTATTTTGTTTATTTATATATTTGTTTATTTAATATTTATTTATTTATTTAATTAATTTATTTATTTATTTTATTTATTTATTTATTTTGCCTTTTGCACTTTACGGTTCCTGGGCTTTGAGGTGTACGTACACCCGAATTTGGCGGCCTCGTTGGATTTAAAATTTCGGAGTTTTTATTTATTTGAATTTCAGTTTTAAATAAATGCATTTTAAGTTCTTTTTCTAAAAGGAAATTAAAATATATTTCTCTTTAATCAAAAGTTAAATGAAATTCAAAATAAAAAATAAAATTAAGTTTTTGGAATTCAATTAAAAGCACTTCAAAAAAAAAGAAATTCAAAAGTATAAAAGCAGCAGCAAGTTTTGGTCTTTGGAGAAGTCTGAAGCAGCAAGACTTCTTTTATTTTTTATTTATTTATTTTAGTTGGATTTCTTTTATTATTTATTTATTTATTTGTTTATTTATTTATTTATTTATTCGTTTATTATTTATTTGTGCCTCTGAAGCTGCATTTAGTGCCTCTCTTTGCTGCTGCTGCTGCTGCTGCTGCTGCTGCTGGGGTTTGTTTGTTTGCTGCTGCTGCAGCAGCGCGAGGCAGCTGCAGCAGCAGCTGGTCTTGCTGCTGCAGCTCCTTCTTGAGGCTTTGCAGCTGCAGCAGCCCACACAGCTCAAACCCTAATTCAGCGTTTAGCACGGCCCAAGGGCTAGGGTTTAGGGTTTAGGGTTTAGGGCTTAGGGTTTAGGGTTTAGGGTTTACTTGTCGCTGCTGCAAAAACGCCTGGGCGTGGCACAGCATGAGGTGCTGCTGCAGCTGCAGCGCCTGCAGCAGCAAAAGAAGAAAAGCATTTGAATCAAATTGAAAGTTTAAAATATCTTTTATTGTTTTCAATTTATTTTATTTATTTATTTCATTTATTTTATTATTTAATTTATTTAATTTATTTAATATATTTTATTTTTTCATTCCGGTGAAAACGGGAGCTGCGCAGACACCGCAGAGCTGCAGATACACCCGAACGCCTTGGGAGTCAAACATTTTTATTTTTTATCTTTATTTTATTTTTATTTTTATTTTATTTTTATTTTTATTTTTATTTTTATTTCTAAATTATAAAAAGGAGATAATTCTGTAAAGACGAGATAATTCTCTTACGTGCTGCTGCAGACATTGGCTCTTCCGGGGCTCCTTGCTTCGGCAGTGCTGCTGTTGCTGCTGCTGTTGCTGCTGCTGCTGCTGTTGCTGCTGCTGCTGCAGCTGCTGTTGCTCCTGTTGCTGCTGTAGCTGCTTGTGTTGATGCTGCATTCGCAGCTGTTGCTGCAGCTGCGCTTGCTGCTGCTGCAGTTGCTGCTTCAGCTGCTCTTGCTGCTGCTGCTGCTGCAGTTTCAGCCACTGCTGCTGCTGCTGCTGCTGCTGCTGCTGCTGCTGTTTATGGGTTGCTTCTAGGCGTGCAGCACCAAAGCCATTTATAAGATCGATATAATCCAGTTCATCAGCCTCATTTATATCCTCATTTATTCCATTATTTATTTCATTTATTTCATTTATTTTATTTATTTTATTTATTTCATTTATTTTATTTATTTTATTTATTTTATTTATTTTGTTTGTTTTATTTATTTCATTTGTTTTGCTGCAGCTCAAAAACCTCAGCAGCGGGGTTAACGCGAGGGCCAGTTGATCTGCTAGAGGGGCTGTGGCCTGAAAATAAATTAAATTAAATAAATTAAATTAATTAAATTAAATTAATTAAATTAAATTAAATTAAATTAATTTAATTAAATTAATTTAATTAGATTAAATGGATAAAACAATAAATGTAGAAGGGCTTTGCTGTTAGTGGGTTTTGTTTATTTTCCTTCTGAGCAACTCAAGCCAAAGAAATGCCGAAAACTGCTGCTAAAGTGCAGCAGCAGCAGCAACAGCAGCAGCAGCAACAGCAACAGCAGCAGCAACAGCAGCAGCAGCAACAGCAACAGCAGCAGCAGCAGCAGCAGCAGAAGCACCTGGTGATGGCGCAACAGCAGCGAAGCCTGCTGCGTTGCTGCTGCAACAACAGTGTAGGCCTCAGTAATGGAACGAGAAGGCTCAGCAGCAGCAGCAGCTGCTGCTGCTGCTGCAGGCGTGCGCTGCTGCTGCTGCTGCTGCTGCAGCATACAGGTGCTGCTGCTGCTGCAGCAAGAAGCAGCTGCAGTAAGGGACATCATCGGACACGCAAAGATGAAGATGCAAATTAATTACTTGGATTTAAAACAAACAAATTTAAAAATTAATTATTTAATAAATTCAATTAAATTAAATAGACAATTAATTGATTATTAATTAATTTAGGAGCATTTTAATAAATACGAAAAAAGGCAAAAATCAAAAACCTCTTTCATCTTTTCCTTCACAAATTGACCAATCTGCATTAATTCAACGAATTTAATTAGTTTAATTAATTAAATTAGTTAATTAAATGAATAAATTCAATAAATTCAATTAATTTAATTAGTTTAATTAATTGGAATTAATTAAAATGAAAAGAAAACGAAAAAGAAAACTTCATTTCAAATTCAAAATAAAAAGCTCCGCATACACCGCAGAGCCGCTTGGGGTGTACGCGCAGCTGCATGCGTTTTTGCATTTTCGAATTTTTGGATTTTTTTTAATTTAAAAAGTTTAAAATTAATTATTTAAAAAGCAATTTCATTTATTTATTAATTAGCTTTCAAATGCACTTATTTGCTCAGCAATTCTCCCATTAATTATTTATTTCTGGACTTTTCCTTTTTCAAACTTGCACCAGTACACTCTGCGGTGTACAGACACCTGGGGGCCCCGTGGGACTTTGGGACTTTTCTTTTGTTTTATTTTTATTCTTTTTAATTCCCAAATTTAAAATGTGTTTTAATTAATTGCTGCAGCTTCTTATTTGCTGCTGTTGTTTAGAGCCTCGTGTGTACCTACGGACTTGCTGCTGCTGCTGCTCTTGCTGCTCCTGCTTCACCTGCTGCTGCTGCTGCTCCTTCTTCACCTGGTGCTGTTGCTGCTGCTTCTGCTTCACCTGCTGCTGCTGCAGCTGCTGCTGCTGCTGCTGCTGCTGCTGCAGCTGCTGCTGCGCGTGCTGCTGCTGCTGCTGCTGCTGCTGCTGTTCCCTTTGCTGGTGCTGGTCATTGCCGTGTTTCTGCGGCGTCTGCTGCTTTTGCTCTTGCTGCTGCACCTGCTGCTGCTGCTGCTGCAGTATCTGCTGCTGCTGCAGTATCTGCTGCTGCTGCAGCTGCAGCTGCTGCTGCAGCAGCAAACTTGCCTGGCGTGCCTCAGCTGCGCTTTTAAATAAAGCCTGAGAAAAAAATATTCAAAATAAATAAAAAGAATAAAATAAAAAGATTAATTAAATTGGAGAAATAAATAAAATTAAAAAATAAGAAAATGAATTAAATTCAAAAGCACGAAAGCAACAAAATGAAATAAATCAAAGAAATGTTCTTTGTTTTTATCTAATTCTTTTATTTGACTTTGTGTCATTTATTATTTGTTTATTATTTATTTATTTTGATTATTTTATTTATTTATTTATTTATTTATTTATTTATTTATTTATTTATTTATTTATTTATTTATTTTTAAACCCACATATATGCGAAGAGAGTTAAAAGCAGTACGCAGTTGCTGCTGCTGGTGCTGCTGCTGCAGGTGCTGCTGCAGCCGCTGCTGCAGCAGCAGCTGCTGCTTTTTCTGCCGCTGCAGCGTCAGCAGCTGCTGCTGCTGCTTTTGCTGCTGCAGCTGCTGCTGCTGACTGTGCTGCTGCTGCTTTTGCTGCTGCGTGGCTTGCTGCAGCTGCCGGAAGGCCCGGCGCAGCAGCAGCTGCTGCTGCTGCTGCAGCAGCAGCAGCAGCAGCGCAGCAGCAGCAGCACGCAGCTTCGCTGCGGCCCCACAGATGCGGCGCCAAGCCCCAAATGCATGCATTTTATTTTTCTTTTGTTTTAAATTAAAAAACAAATTTGCTGCTGCTTCCTTTTGCTGCTGCTGCAGGCAGCAGCAGCTGCAGCAGCGCAGCAAAACAAAAACAAAGTTAATTAATTATTTAGTTTCATTTATTTTAAATAATAAGTGCACTATGTATTATTTATTTATTTATTTCATTTATTTATTTATTTATTATTTATTTATTTATTTTATTTATTTATTTATTTATTTATTTTATTTATTTATTTATTTATCTATTTATTTATTTATTTATTTATTTTCTTACAGTGTATGGACAGAGAGACGGCTGAGCGCATGCATTTTAATCTTTTCTTCTTTGGCCTGCAGCAGCAGCAGCAGCTGCTTGAGTTGCTGCTGCTGCTGCTGCTGCTGCTGCTGCTGCGCCGCTGCTGCTGCTGCTGCTGCAGTGCTGCGCCACTGCAGCCACCGCTGCTGCAGCAGCAGCAAATTCGACTGCCGGGTTTTTAACGAAATGTAGACAGAAAATCTGAAATAAAAATAAATAAAATAAATTAATTAAATAATTAATTAATTAATAAACTAATTAATTAATTAATTAATTAATTAATTAATTAATTAATTAAATAATTAAGAATTAATAAATACATTTTTTTTGTATTTTGGGTCTTCTGTGTCCATTGTCTCCAGCAGCAAAAGGCGGCTTTTGCTGCAGCAGCAGATTGTCTTCTTTCTGCTGCTGCTGCCCACGCCTCTGTTGCTCTCTGCTGCTGCTGCTGCTGCTGCTTTTGCTGCTGCAGCTGTTGCTGTTCTCGCTGCTGCTGCTGCTTTTCTTGCCGCTGCTTCTGCTGCTGCTGCTCTATGCAGCAGGAGCACGGGCTGCTGCTGCTGCAGCTGCTGTTCCTGCAGTAGCAGCAACTGCTACTGCTGCTGCTGCTGCTGCTGCTGCTGCTGCTGCTGCTGCTGCTGCTGCTGCTTCGTGCTGCATGCATTTTTAAATCCCCAAACGCAGCCTTAAGAGCCCCACGACGAGCGGAAGCAAAAAAGTGCTGCAGCAGCAGCGCCAAATACGAGTGGGACTGCATTTGCTGCTGCTGCTGCTGCTGCTGCTGCTGCTGCTGCTGCTGCTGCTGCTGCTGGGACTTCAGGGCCTGCTGCTGCAGCAGCTGTTGCTGAGGTTGGCGCTGCTGCTTTGAGTGCTGCTGCTGCTGCAGCAGCAGCAGCAGCAAAGGACGAAATCCAGCAGTGAGGCAGCGGCGAGCAGCAGCAGAAATCGCCCCAGACAGTCTGTAGATGCCTGTAGGCAGCAGCAGCAGCAGCAGCAGCAGCAGCGATGGCAGCAGCAGCAGCAGCAGCGATGGCAGCAGCAGCAGCAATAGCAACAGCAACAGCAGCAGCAACAGAAACAGCAAATGCACTTTCGTGTTTGCATCTACCTGCAGCGTTTTTTACTGTTTAGTTTGTCCAATTAATTAACTAATTAGATAATTAATTAATTAATCAATTAATTAATTAATTAATTAATTAATTAATTAATTAATTAAGTGATTAATTAATCAATTATAATTAATGAAAAATGCATAAGTATTCTTTGGATTATATTTTTTGTTGCTGCTGCTGCAGCTCTGCAGCAGCAGCAGCGGCAGACAGAACCGTTGCTCCTGCTGCTGCTGCTGCTGCTGCTGCTGCTGCTGCTGAAGCAGCAGCAGCTGCTGCTGCTGCTGCTGGGAGCTTACCTACGCAGGAAGTGCAGCTGCTTCTGGAATTTTTTATTTGTGTTTTGTCTCCTTTTGATCTGCTGCTCTTTTGCTGCAGTTTGTCTCCAGCTTTAGGGGAAAAGGGAGAAATAAAATGAAGTGAGCTGCTGCTGCTGCTGCTGCTGCTGCTGCTGCTGCTGCTGCTGCGTGCAGCTGCGTGGCTGCGCACGGCCTGAGGTGTACGTACACCTCAAAGTGGCCTGTGGGGTGTCAACTCAAAGTCTATTTATTCAATTTAAAGCAATCTAAACTTCTTAATTAAACGAACTGCAGCAGCAGCAGCAGCAGCAGCAGCAGCAGCAGCAAAACTCACCTTGAAGCCTTTCCTCAAGGCCCTCTGCGCTGCAGCAGCAGCAAACTCAGCGGGGGAGGCCCCCCTAGAGGGCCCCCCGTGCCGCTCTTTTAGGGTACTTGAGGGGCCCCTGGGGGCCCCCCAAAACTCCTTGAAGCTGCTGGGGCCCCCAGGGCCCCCTTGGGGGCCCCCGGGGCCCCCCTGGGGCCCCCCATAGACCCGAAAGGCCCCCTGGGGGCCCCAAGAGATTCCCTGGTGGTCTTCGGGGCCCCCTTGGGGGCCCCCAGAGGCCTCTTGGGGGCCCCCATGGCCCCAAGGGGCCCCCTGGGGGCCCCTGGGGACTTCCGGGGGGCCCCCAAATACCCCTTTGGGGCCCCCAAGGACCCGCGGGGGGCCCCCAGGGGGCCCCCCGAGGGGGCCCCCAGGGGGCCCCCCAGGGGCCCCCGGGCTTTGGGGGGCCCCCCGGCTGGGGCTGTCTTTGAGGAGGAGGCAAATGCGTCTTAAGAAAAGTTCATTCTGAAGAAAAAAAAGAAAATAAATAAATTAAAATATAAATAAAAAGAAATAAAAGAATTAAATTAATTAAAATATAAATAAAAAGAAATAAAAGAATTAAATTAATTAAAATTAAAAAAAGAAAAAAAAGAAACATTTTGAGTTTATTTGGCTGCTGTGGCTGAAAAGGTTTTAAAAGTTAAAAGCGAATTAAAATGCAATTAAAGTCTTTTTATTTATTTATTATTTATTTATTTATTTATATATTTATTTATTATTTATTTAGTTATTTTATTTATTTATTTATTTATTTATTTATTTATTTATTTTTGAAGACAGAATTTATATATACTTGCTCTTGGGACCCTGGTGTCGCCCTAGGGGAATCAGCAGCAGCAGCAGCAGCAGCAGCAGCAGCAGCAGCATTGGGGCGATGGCTTTTGCGTTTTGCTGCTGCAGCAGCAGCAGCAGCAGCAGCAGCAGAGCAGGTGCAGCGCGCGGCAGTGGAGTGTCTGTACACCTCATCGCTGCAAATGACAAAGAAAATGAAAAATCAAAAATTCAAAAATTAATCACACAAACAGCAGCAGCAGCAGCAGCAGCAGCAGCAGCAGCAGCAGCAGCAGCAGCAGCAGCAGCAGCAGCAGCAACGACAGCTAGGGTTTAGGGTTTAGGGTTTGATAAACCCTAAGACCTACACTAAATTGGTTTCTTGCTTTTCCTTTTCAATATAAGTCAAAGAGCAGCAGCAGCAGCAGCTGCTTACCCAGCTAGGGGGGCCCCCCTCGGGGGGCCCCCTGGGGGGCCCCCCGGGGGGCCCCCAGGGGGGCCCCCAGGGGGCCCCCCGAGGGGCCCCTTCAGATTGAGGTGAACCCATGTGGGGCCCCCAGCAGGGGCCCTCTGAGTGCAGGGGGCCCCTGGGGGGCCCCCCAGGGGGGCCCCCCCAATAAAAAGGTCTGGAGGCCCTCAGGGGGGCCCCTAAATCTGAACTTGGGGGGCCCCCCAGGGGGCCCCCAAGGGGGCCCCCCAAGGGACTTTCTGGAGGCAGCAAGAGGGGGGCCCCCCATGGGGGCCCCTCATTTTGGGGGTTTGGGGTTTTGGCTGAATTGCATGCACTAGCAGCAGCTCGTGGTATGTCTAATAGCTGCTGCTGCTGCTGCTGCTGCTGCTGCTGCTGCTGCTGCTGCTGCTGTTTTATTTTGCAGCAGGAGATGCACCTGGTTGCTGCAGCAGCTGCGACTGTTTCGAGGGGCTGCGTGCTGCAGCAGCAGCGGCAGCTGCTGCAGCTGCTGCTGCTGCTGCTGCTGCTGCTGAAGACAGCAGCAGAGCACCTGCATGCATCTCTTTTTAAATATTTTTCTTTTTGCTTTTTTCTTTTGCTGCTTCTCCCTATTTGCTGCTGCCCCCCTGGGGGCCCCTCAGGGCCCCAGGGGTGCCACCGTTGCTGCAGTTGCATGCTGCTGCTGCTGCTGCAGCGCCGCTTGCTGCTGCTGCTGCTGCTGCTGCAGCAGGGGCTGCGCAGGCCCCGCAGCTGCTCAGCAGCAGCAGCAAAAGGGCTTAAATAATCCCTCCATGCTGCTTTTCTTTCTTTTTCTTTTTTTTCTTTTTTCTCTTTTCTTTTTTTTGGTTTTTCTTCTTCAGGAGGTGCTGTTATGAAGCAGCTTTGCTGCTGCAGCGGGCTGCAGCGTGCTGGCAGCTCAGCAGCAGGAGCAGCAGCAGCTGCAGCAGCAGCAGCTGCAGCAGCAGCAGCAGCAGCCCTGCGCGTATCACTTGCTGCTCCTGCGCCTCCGCCTGCCGCTGTTGCTGCAGCAGCAGCAGCAGCAGCAGCAGCAGCAGCAGCAGGTTCAAGGTCTCTTAAGGCCAAATGAGGAGGGGCTATCTGTGCTGCTGTTGCTGCTGCTGCTTCATATTTTGTAAGAGACAGGGGCCCCCCACTGGTGGGCTGCAGCAGGTGAGGCTTGCCTGTTTGATTTGCTGCTGCTGCTGCTGCTGCTGCTGCTGCTGCTTCTGCTGCTTCCACTGGAGCTGTTGATGCTGCAGTTGAGGGTGTCATTCTGCTGCTGCTGCTGCTGCTGCTGCTGCTACTCCTAGTGGTTCCCGGCCCCGGCACCTGCTGCTGCTGCTTCTGTTGCTGTTGCTGCTGCTGCTGCTGCTGCTTTTTCTGCGCACGGGAGCTCGACTTCAGCAGCAGCAGCAGCTGCTGCAGTTGTTGCTGCTGCTGCAGCAGCTCGAGGGGGCCCCTGGGGCCTCTGTGGGGCCCCCTGCTGCCTTGAGAAGACAAAAGGGCCCCCATAAGACTTTTTTCTTTTTTTTGTTTTTCTCCTTTTTCCTTTTTGTGCTTCTCTTCTGAAGAAAAAAGAAATTAAACCCGAGCACCAATAGACTGCAGCAGCAGCAGCAGCAGCAGCAAGAGCAGCAGCAGCAGAGCCAGCAGCAGCAGCAGAAGCCAGCGCAG